CTGGTGCTGTTCCTGTGGCGCCGATGCCGCTGCTGGTGACTTTGATAGCTCCAGCTCTGTCCTAAAATTTCATTTCCATATAATCAAAATTTGATCTTGGAAGTTATTTTAAAACCTAGAAAGATTAATTGTGTCAGCTTGCATTCGAGTCAGAGTCCCTTTCTAACGCTATGAATTCCCACTAGCTTTAACTCTGATTTAAAAGCAAACCCCATCCTTCATCACAACACCAAGTCCCCAGCATGGTCACCGATGCATCCTGGAATGCCCCAGGGTAACAGTGGGTGTTTTTCTACACTCATTTAGTTAATATCTGTTGCCTTCTGAGACAGGTGCTTGAGTGAAGCAGCGCGGATTTAGCCACTCCCCGTCACTCATCTTGAAGCGATAGAGCCTCGTCTGCTGGCCGTCTGCTGGCTTCCCTGCTCTGCCAGGCGCTGCAGGCCCCATCGCAGTCAGCCTGTGTCCTGCTGGTGACCACTCCCTTGTGTGCACTTAGTCACAAAGTCACAAACTTCTCTTAAACTACCTCTTCAATGCACACCTTTCCCTTCCGTCCTGATGTGCAAGTACTCCAGGTCAGATTTCCTCCACCCCTGTGGGTCTCCTCTCCCTGCTCTCCAGGAAAATCTGCCCTTATTTCTCCACTCGTCTATCTGGGCAGTCTTCCTACCTACATGTTCAGGCTCTTTTTCATCCCTGCACCCTCCAAAGAACCTGCTGTCGTGTAAGACCATGCCAACTTACCCGTCAAACAGATTCCACAGGATCTTAATTTTGAGGGTTAAGGTAGCATAGTGGGGGAGGGTTGTTTTCTGGACAGTCAGGAATCGTGGCAGGCTTCAGGGAAGAGGTGACATTTAAACAGCACTTTAAGTTTGGAAACCAATTCTGAGGTTGACAGAAAGAGGCATTTCAGGCTGAGAAGAATGACAGAATTTTCTCTTTTCATCTCTTGGCTTGGATACGAGATTGGTTGGTTGGTTGGTTGGTTGGTTGGTTGGTTGGTTGGTTGAATTTCAAGCAGGCCATTTTAAATCATCTATCCTTAGATGTGATGTGTAAAAATGAAAGCTTCCAGGACATTGAAAGAAAGCCTTACATGATATTTTGTAGGATAGTTTCATGAGGTTTCTAGGACACACAGATCCCAATTAAGATTTATTACCTGGACCCTGCAGTCACAGGCTGGCTCAGGGTGAGCTTGGTCTGTGGCATGGAGATGTTTCCTGCAAGCAAGTTGATGTCTACAAAGGAGCGAATTTTCCATCTTAAGATGTTGATACACACACATGAAAAATTTATACAGTGCTTCAATCCTAAACAACTCCTGGATTTTAATATAGAAGATAAACAGCCAAGCCTCGTCTTCGTTTTACCAAGTATGTGGCATTGATTGACCGCTGACCCTCTCCATGGGTCTGGTCCACTTCCTAGAACAGCGGACAAGATAGTCAGCCATTCTCTTCCAGAGGCTGCTATGGGTCTCTCGTCCTTTTGCCTGTTGGAAAGCACAGAGACCTTGGCTTTCTGCTCCAGGCGCTGTGCTCCAGGTGCTACTGCCAGGATGCTGTCAGGTTCCGTGAGCTTCTAGTCTGTGCTGCACTTGGGACTTTTCTCACTGTCCAGTTGGGACTAATGTGTTTGTTCCGACGAAGCGTGGCACTGCATTTTATCAATCTGTCAGGAAATGCTTTCACCTCCTTTTCCTGGCCTCTCTTGGAGCACACCACGGGCTGCCCCATCATCAGATGGCCCAGAACGGTCAGAGAAGCCCCAAGACCGCACAGGTCCAAGACCTGGAGGGATGCTGCGGGGTGTGGCCACTGCTTTCTGTGACCTTACAGGACCTTGTGACCCATCGTTGTTCACAGCTCGGATTTCTTGTGGAGCAGTCTCACTGCATGAAGGCCACATCCCCTTTCCTAAGTGGGGTTTCATGACTGGCCTCTTCCTCCCCACCCAGTCCCACAACAAGCAGTCCTCTAACAAAACCCTCACCTCCTAGAGGATACAGTTAATATCCTCAGGGCTGCAAAGTAATTTTCCTCTAGCCCCAGCCAGACTTGATGGAAAGTCGAAAGTTAAGAGGGAAAAAGCAACATCATTTAAAAGACCAAAATGATAAATGCCTTTGAAATATCTGGAAAATATGTTTTCTACCTCAATACACAGTAATGTTACTAACACTAATCAAGAGTTATGTCGGTGTTACTTCCATTATAAAGTGATTAAGCATTGTACTGTAGATCAGAGCCCTGTAGGGGAGGCGGGGGCGGAAGAGCACAAGGGACTGTGATGAAGGTGCCCAGGGGGTGGGTGGCTGGAACTTCACGGGGAAGTCATACGCTCTCCAAAACTGAATCTAATGAATATATATATTTTAAAATTAAAAAAAGAATCGCCCTGTAATTGTAAACTTCTCACTTTCTCATGTAGCTGTGCTCCCTAAAACTGGGCTGAATAAATGCTGTCGATGAGAACCTAGTAAGCACTGGGAAGACCGTTCTGGAATGCTTGCAGCGTTCGGGCTCCGCCCGCCCCTCCTGGCAGACACTGTCAGCGTGTCAGTGTCCTGCATTACGACACAGCCCTCATTGTTGCAATTACTTGTCAGGGTAGTCGAGGCTTCACACTTGAGGTGTGTGAGCAGAGTAATAAGGTAGAGAAGGGGTAGAGAAGGAGTGTCGATCAAAGACACCACGGACCCTATAAAAGAGAAGATGTGATTAGTTCATGATGTAGACTCGGGAGCACATAAGTCATATTTGAATTGAAATAACTTTGCAAAGGGACTTCAGGTGGTCACCTGAAGACCCAGCATGGACCTCATTTGTAGGTTGCTGAGATCACTTAATGTGTCTCTTTGGGATTTACAAGTTGTTTGACTCACCAGCCACGCACACACGGGAATGGCCGTCTGAACAAAGTCACGCCGTCACGTTAAAGGGCAAATGTCCACTCTTCCGCTTTCTAGGTGATGGCAACACTTGCAATGAGATTAAGGATTTTATTTCATTTTATTGACATTCCCAGAGGCTTGTGCACTGCTGTCTCCACCTTTGTTACCTAGGAGGTGTGTTGCATAGGCAGTGAAGCCCCTTGGGGGGCTATCCTGAAACACCTGGGAAAGCCTCAAGTACTGCATTGTCAGGTGGACTCGGGACCACCAACCCGCCAAAGCCCCCTGCACCTCTCCAGTGCTCACTCCCCCCCAGGGCTGTGAGCCCCAGGGGGTGGGACCCCAGGGCCACCTTGACTACCAGTCACCATGTCCTCCCTGGAGGTGCCTCTTCCTGCGCCCCTGCGCTTGGTCCTCATCTCCCCACTCCGGCAGCTGCCCTCTTCCCTTCCAGTGTACTCCCTAGTTCAGCCTGCCCCTGGCCTGGCCCAGCCTTGACTGTGGTGGCGGTGGGGGCAGCATGCCCCGGCAGCCTGAATGGCGCTGGGACACACTCCTGCAGAGACGCTGTGTGTCTGCGGAGTGAGCCCTCGCGGTGCGGCTGAGAAGCGAGGATTTCTGGTAGGCCGCTGCTGCACCCTCACCATCTGGTGGATGCTGTGTTCTTGGGCGTCTGTTTCCTAAATTGAAAGCAGAAGGATTACAGTTTTACTTTAGTTGTGCCCTTCATGGTGAAATTGGGCTCAAATAGAAATGTAATGATTTCCTTCCTTGGCTGTTTTCCAGCAACTGTAGAGATTCTGAGGTACAGTGTCTTGCTGGGATTGAGGCGCTGGAGTGTTACTGTCCAGTGAGGAAAAGTGTTTTCCAGTGTTCAGACATTCCCTCAGAGGGGTAGGAAGAAAGGCAAGGTCTTATCTGGCTAGGTTTCTGTGGCCTGAAAGACAAATTATTTTTATGCCAAAAAAGTCCATTCTATGTCAAATCTGGGGGCTCATTTGAACTAGAAAGCTTTGTTCGGTTCTTTAAAGAAAGAACTCAGAAACTTGAATTTTGCTCACTTTACTCTTCTTGTAAATTATACCACTGCCCAAAATGCAAAAGAGGAGATTGGGAAGGGATAATGTTATCTGTGGGCTGCGTGCATAAAGCTTTCCTTTATCCACAAAGAAATGACTGCACCATGGTTCAGATAACAGGAGAAAAGTGGGGTTGCCAAGGCCGACCCCCAACTCACCTTCTTCCTGTTCCCTCTCAAACACACACAGTGCAAAATGCAAGTATACTCACCCCCTTCGAGCCTTTCAATTCCCAAGGTAAGAAATTTGATTAAAGAAAATTTTCTTAAAAGAAAAGGACCCGTCTAAATAGAATGTGAGCAAGTAAAATACACTTCTTGTTATGAAATCATATGGGGAAAAACGATTCTCATTTCTCCATCACTTGCAATAGCAACCACTTCCGCAGTGCCAATTTTAACTCCTTCCCTCTCTTTGTTCGTTGACTCTGCGTTGCTGGGAAGGCAGCGATAACCAGCTGTCAGAGAGCATGTGAGATCAGGGTGAATTCTACATTGTACAACGAGCTATTAATAATTGAAATGCTGTCTCTCCACCCTTCCGACCTGAAGGCGTTACATCACTGTTTATACAATAATAGGGTTTGGCACTGATTGGAAGGTTTCAAGTGTTTTAGCATCAGATAGTTAAGTAGGAGATATGATTATATGAACAAAATTAACATGTACCAAAAGGTAGACTTTCAAATTATTTCAAATGTTTCTGATATGGTCTGGTCCCAAAATAACTACTTGATTAACTAATTTGTCTCCTAAGAAATATCTTTATGTAGGTCAGGATGAGATCACTTGAAAAAAAAAAAATCGACTCTTTGGAGAACTTTTAAACCACCCAAAAAAAAAAAATCTCATTTAAGAGCTGGAGTTGAATTATATGGTCATTTTAGTTCTCAGAATTCAAAGCATAGATGGCTGGAATCATGTGTGTGTGATAATTCTAGGCTATTCGCAATAAATAATACATGTCATTTCTGCTCCAGCGAGGCTGTCACTTACTGCTCTAAATGACTTTCTGTGCAGGGCCCAGCCTGCTCTCCCAGAGTGCACTTCAGCTCAATTCCAAACCTGAAGGGTCCTTCCAGTACCCAGCCAGCTACCACAGCAGCCAGACCCTTGCCCTGGGTGAAGCGGCCCCCACACAGCTTCCCGCCCGCGCCACGCAAGCCCGGGGTGCCGGCCAGAGCTTCAGCCAGGTAGGTGTGGGGCCCTCTGCAGTGGGGCCCTGGCGCCCGGGAGACCATTTGAATGGGAGCAGGCTGGGAGCAGGCAGGAGCCTCTCGCCTTTCTTAAATCTGCCCCACACTTGGACAGAATGTTCTCCTTGCCGTGATGGCTGAAAGGAGTGAGGAAAGCCTAAGTCAGCAGTTTTGGGGGTGGGGGGGCCACACCCCGCTGGGCTGTGTGTTTGGCTGTGCGACTGGGTGAATGAGAGCCCCCTTCCCCCTGCCTCTCTGTGTCCGGGATGGAAATGGGACGTGGTTGCTGAGTTTGCCTGCACGCCTGGAATTCTTGACAGTAGCAGTGCAGAGTGATTCCTGGGAGTTTGTCCTGGGAAGGACGACAGTGTGTGTGAGATGGAGTTTCCGAGCTCTCCGCCATGGTTTAGTTACACCTGGTCAAGTTTGGTTTTGAAACACGCCCTTAGTTGTTTAAGGTGTGTGCTTGTTCTTGGAGTTTCACTGCACAGATTTTTTAGCTGCTGTTCAAACCAGCTCTTGGTACAAAGAGGTGACTACTGATCTGAAATGTTTTTTCAAGACAGTTTAAATGCTGTAATCTCTCTATTTGTCTGTATGTCGGTATAGCTAGGTATGTAGGTAAATACACCCAATACACTGGTCTTGGTATATTTAATTGACCTGCCAGAATTACTGTACGGGAGGGCTAGCTGACTGAAAGCTACTTTAAACTTTATTTTGCCCACCTATTGCCCTTTTAATCTCTGTGGTTTTGCTCCTGAAGCAAGGACTCCAAAATCCAAAAGCCCCCTGCCTTCTGCTGGCAAGCTTCGGTCCATCCTTTCAGTATTTATGGAGAGGTGTCTTGGCCAGGAGCTCGGCCCAGGCCTGGCCACCCACCAGCTCCTGTGACACCCAGCTGGGTCTCCAACTTGTTACTGTTCACCCAGCTACCCTCCCCCATTAAGCCTGAAGCTATTGGAGGGCAGAAGCCTTTGTATGTTTCAGTAGCAGCCCCCACATGGAGAAGTGCCAGTAAAGAGCAAGCCGTGAAAGGTCAGGCGGGACCCTCGCCCAGGGCCTTGAGCTGCCGGTCAGGGTGAGCGAGACACGCACGAAGCATCGGCAGAAAAGCTTCCGTGTGGCTCCGTCACTGTAGTGAAGGACTGCCCAGCACCGCAGCACGTGCAGGCACCTTCTGCCAACAAGACCCCGAACCACAGGCACCTGTACCTTTCCCCTTCTTCAGTGGTGCCAGGCTACAGGGTGTGGGTCGTGGGGGCAGGTGAATTGTTCCATGGGGGAGGACCCTCCCCTCCCTGGCAGCTCTGTGGGGGACTCGGGTTCAGGGGACACCTCTCTGTGGGTGGAGAAGGCAGGTGGGGGGTGCTTGAGTGGGTGGGGGCTCAAGTCTTGACGTGAGTCGGTTCCTCAGCACCGGTGGCCTTTCACCCCCACACTGTAGCTCCCCCAAAGTGCTGGAGGCAAACTGGAGCGCCCCTGAGCAATGTCCAAGCATAGTTGTGAATTTTTTTATTAAAAGAAGTAGTCTGTGTATACCAGTGCACCTGTATGCTCTCTTTCATCTACCGAAAATAATCCTCATCGTTTCACAATAGATGAAGACTACATCACATCTGAAATGTTGAGGGAGGGATTCGCATGGCCAATGCCAGCTATTCAAGCTAATTCTATTCTAAGATGAAGTGGTTTTCTTTTTCTACCCCGCCCAAGCAGCCCTGTGTTGACAGGCATGTTTCTTTTCTCCACCTGCACTGACTCTCTTTGACCTTGACATGGGATCATGGTTTACATTCAATTCTGAACTCTGTAGAAACCAAACAAGTGTCTGTGCACCTTGCTGTTACCCTCCTATCCAGCTGCCCGGGTCCACGGGGCCACCTTCAAGAATGAGGGACATTTGATATTCGAATCCACCTACAAAAACTCTGAATTTAGCTCTTTAGATTCCTGGCTGTACCTTCTCTTATTTTCATCTTGAACTCAGTTATTACTCTTGCTTGACTCATTTCTTATCAATAGCAAGTAAAACGCCCCATAATTTGAGTGATGGACACTGCCTCAGTGGAAGATAAAAGCTAGCATCCCTCCAGCCGCGCCTCGGGAGATGGAAACATTCGTAGGAAACTAAAAGTCTCTCAAGGAGTCTGGGAGCGTCTAGTCCCAGGCTAGCGAGGCAGCAGCGATGTTAAATCAAGGGCTTATGAAACGCAGGTCCGAGCTCCCGAGGCACTCACCGGCAGCCTCTCAATTGTACCTCTTAGCTTCATTCCCTAGCGAGGCGGTGCAACCCTCTGCCTTTCACTTTTTATTTCCTTTCTTTAGCTAGCTCGTCTACACTTGTACATGAAAAGACTCCACTTTGTCCCAATTAGGGGAGTTCTGCACCCTTTGCGCGCCCCACCATCCCCCAGCGAGAAGGGCAGGGAATCTTGACTGCACTCAACTCTCCCCGAGCCCAGGGAGTGTTGTCTCTTGTCTTGACCTGTTCCCTTAAGTGCCTCCATGGTTGGAACCTGTTATGGGGCCTGTGATGGAGACTTAACACCCCCAGTTCAGTGTCTTCTAGGGGAGTGCAGCTCACGTGGCTAATTGCTGGGGGTGAGATAGGGGGCGTCAAGACAACAGAACTGGGCTTCCCTTGAAGTACACTTCCAGGTGGGCGGGGGGGGGGGGCGAGGGCAGGTGGCGTGCAGACATTGGGCGAGCTTTCCATGCCGCCCAGGGTGCAGGGGACAGGGGTGGCCCCCCTAAGTGGCTCCGTCCCAGCCCATGCTGAGATGTTAACGCTGGGACAGAGTTTCCCACACTTAAACTCCTCTGAACGTTCAGACCTAGGGGTGCTAGATTTGCTCTGTCAACAGAGGCCCACTGGTGGGTGAATGTCCATGGGGATTGAAGTTCAGCCATTGGGGCCACCATGTGGAAGGCAGGCTGCGTGGACAGACATGAAGGAGGAAAGGGGGGTGCTCTTGGGAGCTGGGCTGGTGTGTTGAGGGACAGCAGGGGGCGGAAGCGACTGAAAGGGAGCCAGGAGAGTTGGGGGCTGGGAGGCTGAGTCTACCACGCTGAGAATCTGGTCTTTTACCTGGAGTGAGTGGAGGACCGGGCAGAGAACCTGGGGCCGCAGACTCCATGGCCTGACCTGTGTCCCCTGTCACTGCAGGTTTCCCCCCGTTATCCAAGATCAGAATGGTTTTTGAGTCTAGGAACATTTAAAAACATGCTCCATACAGATCCATGGCGACAGCATTCCAGCTCTGGAAATAGCCTGCAAGCTACCAGCTAGGGCCCCGGGCACCGAGGAGCCCTGTGGTGACACCTGCTCCCTCCCATCACATGACCTTGCCTCCGAGCTGACCGCGAGGTTCCAGACCCCCAGTCAGTGGTCAGGGTCAGCCCTGCCGGCAGGCTCTCCAGCCATCCTCTGCGAGCTCCCTCTGCCAAGGGCGGGCCTACAGCAGCAGGAAGTGGCCCTGTACCTGACTGTATCTCCCATCCAGCTTCCTATGGATCTCTGAAATGCTCACTATCAAGTCTCCTGGGCAGAGGAGTGACAAATATGTTGGTCTCACCTCATTCCCAAACATGAAGCAGCCTCACCAAGGAGTCCAGCCCCCAGAGAAACAAAGCAGACAAGCGCCATAGAAGCCGCAGTTCTAGAAAGAACAGTGGCATGGTCCTGCTGGAAGCATTAGCGTGGAAGGTGTACGTAATGCAGCATTCTAGAAGAAGTTATGTCACTTTGTATATTGTCCATGTCAAATTTGAAACTGTCAGCATACTGGACTTGCGGTTTGCAGGTGATTCCCTGTTAGAAATCCCTGCTTGTTACTCTTAAAATCTCCTCCCCTACTTGCTCTCTCCAGTATAATACAGCGATCTGGCTTCCATCATGGAGACATTGCCCATCACAGGGAGGGGTGTGTTTGACGGTAATTTCCTCTTGTGAGCAAATATTTGCTTTCTTCCAGGTATGCCAGATGAGCCTCTGGCTGTAATGAAAGTTTCATGTGCTGTGCTTTTGACAAGACTTTTGTGTTTTTTAGAAGTTGCCATGAAGAAATCCCTCCTTATGTATTATTCTTTAAGATAAATTTATACAAGACAGTTATGTCATTGTTTTATCTTCCTTCTCTGTGTTCTTGTCTCGACTGAACACTACAATGGCACATGAAATGCTTTTCAGAATATTACATATCAATAAAAACCCTAATCATAATTTTATTAAGGGGGAAGGAGAAGGGAAGGAGAAACCAGGGTGCAAATCTGTCTCATTTCACCCCATTTGGATTAATGAATTAGAATCCTGGAAGGCAAATCCCTGCTGCCTCTTTTTTGCAGCAACAGAGGCAATATGTTTTATAAGATCTCTCTCTCTCTCTCTCTCTTTCTCTCTCCCTCTTCGTTTTCCTCAACCCACAACTCTCTCCTTCCATAATTTTGATGCCGTCATGCCAAGAGAGAGTCAAAGTGGTCTCCATTTTCATCTCCAACATTGTAATTTTTGTGGCCTTTTCATGACATGTTCTCATCTAAGAAAGGAATTCCTTGGTGCCTTGGTTTTTTAAAATGTCTAAGCTCAATGAATGATTACGTGACCTCACCACCAGGCGAACCAGTTTTCCTCCTCCCAGAGGTGATGATCCTGCAGGTGACCTGCAACAGAAGCTCGCTCTCCCTTGATGCTCATTCTTAGTTTTTACCAAAATCAGCACTTCTTGTGGGAATTCCTAGTAGATGAGAGATTTGATGATTGTATTTGGCTACTTCCAAAATAAACCATTCTCACAGTACCAGAATTTTCTACCTTGGGAATTATGTTAAAGAGTAGCATTTCCTTTGGGAGACAGTTTCAGGAGAAAAATGATGAATGTTTGGGGAACACAGGTTGGGGTGTAAGTTGGAGACCGGACTTGGTGGGGGACGGGCTTCCTGGCTGTACTTGACTATGGCAACATTCTGTCTCCTACCAACATGAGACAGTTTACACT